TCAGCTCACTGCCACCTCCACCTCCTGGTTTCAAGCGATTCTTCTGCCTCAGCCTCCCAAGTAGCTGGGATTACAGGCCTGCACCACCATGCCCAGCTAATTTTTGTAGTTTTTGAGTAGAGATGAGGTTTCACCATTTTGGCCAGGCTGGTCTCGAACTCCTGACCTCAAGTGATCTACCCCCCTCAGCCTCCCAAAGTGCTGGGATTGTAGGCATGGGCCACTGCACCCGGGCAACCCGTTTTTATTAACGTTTTAAAATATGTTGGTATCACAGATACAAAACATTCTCATGCTCTTTAAGAGAATTCACTTTTAAGCTAGAAATGATGAAAAGGCTTGGTCCATGCACTTTCCCCGAGTTATTTTGCTTCATGTGCATATTACTTTAGGAAGAAGGTACAACATGGTAGGATACAGTTTTCAAGAAAAAAAATTTATGACTTTTAAAAGTTTTTTTGGTTTGGTTGGTTTCAGTCTTTTCATGATTCAAAAAATTCCTCATCAGAAGAAAGTCCTAATTCCAGTTGTTGTACCTTTCTTTCCCTTTTCTTCAGGCCATCCAGTGAAGAGAGAGAGGCTGAAGTATCTCTGAAGGATTCTACACTAGATAACTAGGTTGACATACCTGAAATATAGAGAACACTTAAGAAGTTTGTAATGGTTTCCATTTGAAATAGACTGCTGAAAGTTTTAAATTTTTATAAGCATAGGTTTTGATGTTGAAAACTTGTTTTGTGGGGAAAAATCCCTTTCTCTTTGTTTCAAAGTAAACATTATTGCTAAGTGTACTTGTGCAGTATTAACAGCTACATTATACAGTAAATGTGAGGTAAAATCCATTGTTAAACTGCTTTTCTGGACATGGTTGTAGCATATTTTCAATTAGTGTGTGTATGTTACTGTGTAATTGATAGTAGAACAAAGTTACATTTTTAAAACTGCTACTTGTATAAACCTTTCCTCCTTTCCCAAATACAGTGGGTTTTGTGCATAGTTTTTACAAACCTTGGATTTACCAGACTGTCTTTTCACTGTTTGTGGGTTTTGTAGAAGTTGAGCATTTTTATGGTAGATAAAATGTTACTTCTATACAAGTACTCACTCCCTTTTTATCAAAAGGTAATTTTAATCTCAGTCTACCTTGTGCTACATTATCTGGCTTCTTTGGAACAATGTGTGGTCTGTATGGTTTTTTGTTTTTTTGTATGACAACTAGTTAACCAACTGACATTGAACTGATTTGAGAATTCTACAAATTATAAAAGTTAAGTTAATTTTTGAAGGTAATTTAGTTTTGTGGCTGGGCATCCAGGGAAGTCTTAAGACTTCTCTGCAGATAACAGACTGGGTATATATAGGAATGAATCTGGCTTTAGGGTTAAATCATTTAAGGTCCTTTTACAGGCAGGCACTAGTAACTAAAACTGGAAACTAAAGTTTATTTTTGAGAAATGGCTCAAGTTTCTCTGTTAAAAATTCCTTTAGGAAGTCACTAAATAATTGTACTTAATTGGAAGAAAAAAAATCCATGATGCTTACACAGTAAATATAAATAAATGCTATATAAGGAAATTTGCCTACCTGAAAGCATGGCTATATTAGAAGTTTTCATTTCTAGATTCCAAAAATACAAACATCAGTTGTTCCAACATAGGACTTTGATAGTCTGTACATTGACATATATGGACAAAATCAGGGTGAGACCAATGTTACAAAATTTAATGGTATGTTAACTAAAGAGATAACATTTCTAAAGTATTTTGACTGTTAGGTCATTTGGCATTTTTCAATAAGTAGGCTACTTCTCATGTTTTGAAACTTTATGAATATGGAAAAAATGGCTTAGCAGCATCTGTGTATGACATTGTATGGTTAACCCTCTGGGATAACTGTTGAATTTTTGTTTTTAAGAGGTCTTACAGTGGAACTAAGAATCACTGTTATGAGAGAACTGCATATATACCAGTCATTATCTGTTTGGTCCTTATACAGTTTTAACTTAGATTTATTCTAGTTAAGCCATAAGTTTCAACGTGTAAACTTGTTTTGATTAAAGAATTTTTCTATCAAACTTTTCTAGTAAATTAATTTCTTGCTATTTACAAGAGTAACTGATGGAATGCTAGGTTTACTGCTAAGGAAATAATTTCTTAGTTAACTGGTCCCAGAGGCTGTATTGTTTCGGGAAACAGGGTAACTAAACAGTTCGCTCCAGATGATAAAAACAAAGGAAATGTTATTTTTCTTCACCCTCCCTTTTTTCCCATGACCCACCAGATCTATAGTTTTACCAAGAAGCCATAGAATATAGCATCATTCTCATAATTCATGTCTGCTTGTACAGGCTGACCTTGATTTAACTAGTTGATATATAGTCACTTCAAGCATTATTGCCTTTTCCTTAATCATTAACCCTCAAGAAACCTGTTTTGTCATAGGCTGGTTTATAGATAACTATCATTCTCAGAACTCTTGATAATTATTCATAGGAATTAAGAACTTTCAGGATCACTGAAATTGTTCATTGGTTCAATTTAAGTTGTGCCTGTGGTCAAAACTCCACAATTCAACATGGTACCAAGAGATAATTTGGAGAAAGTCTTTCCCGCCTCCCCACCCCCAAAAAAAGGTATATGTGATAGGTAGTTTTAACACCTGTTTTGGGCTTGTGTGTGTGTGTGTGTGCGTTTTGATCAATGGATAAAAGTCATACATCAGCCAAGCACAGTGACCTCACGCCTATAATCCCAACACTTCAGGAGGCCGAGGTGGGTGTTTCATGAGGTCAGGAGTTCAAGACCAGACTGGCCAAAACCCCGTCTCTACTAAAAGTGCAAAAATTACCTGGCCATGGTGGCATGTGCCTATAATCCCAGCTACTTAGGCTGAGGCAGGAGAATTGCTTGAACCTGGGAGGCAGAGGTTGCGCCACTGGACAGCCTGGGCAAAAAGCAAGACTCCATCTCAAAAAAAAAAAAAGTCATACATGACTGAGCCGAACTGATTGTTGAAGTTTTCTTAGCTGCTTGGAGAAACTGCAGATATATCCATCTGAATCTGAGAACTTACTGGACTTCGTATGTGAACAATTGGAGAGAACCATACACTTTAGTGATTTTCAATAATATGATGCTAGATTTTGCTGACACAGTACTGCTGTTTATGTTCCTACTCACATACACTTACCTGGTTACAGATGTCAGGTCAAGATGAAGTCTGCCTCTAATCCTGTATAAAAGCAAGGATTTTTCGTAGGGTGCTGTGAGGGCTTCACTAACTTTATTTTGTCCCATTGGCCAGAGAAAAGATGCTCTAATGGAAATAGCAAACCTGTATCATTAAACTCTTTAGAAACAAAGAAGCTGGTATAATAGGCAGAAATGTGCTTGTGTTGTGTAATTCTGCAACATGATGTTAGAGATGACTGACCTTTCTCCCAGTAAAATTCAAATGTCTGATTATCCTTAAACAGGACTGAGGACTGAAATGTTTGTTTAAAGAAAGTGCTTTTGCTTCTCTCACCATACTGACTTTTGTCCATGTGCGTCCAGTATTACATAAAAGTCAAATTCAACCACCAAGGAGGTTGACTGACATGTTCATGACAACATTTTCACATCTGCCTATCTTCATTAGATGTTACATGTAATTTGACAGGCATGTTATATTTGATTGAAATAAGTATAAAGAAAAGCTGTCTTAAATCAGTGTTTCTCACAGCTCCAGAAAAAGTTAGGGATTTCTTTGGACTTGAACTTGGTGGGATACCTGTATAACTGATAATAACAAACACATGGGCAAACTGTGGGAGTAACCCGGTTGGTTAACTTTTCTCCTCAGTTTCACTAGGAAAAGGTAACAGGTACCCGAGTCTTTGATGAAAAAGTTAGCCCTTATTAAGAACTAGTAGACTAACATTCTCAAATAATAAAACAAAAATCCCAGTAGCAGAAATGTTTTAACTGGCATATTTCTTCTTTGTCCACTAAAATGAATTGACACTACATACAGAATAATGCATTATGGCAATAATTAACTTTCTGGAGTTCGGTGTTTTGACAGTATGAAATGAAAATGAATAAAATGTCCTTGCATATTCATGTAAGACCTTTAAGGAACGCAGTATTAAAAAGGAATCAGAACTTTTACCTGTGGAATTCTAGGGTTGGGTAAATCATTCATTTATCTTTATGATTTGCCGGCAGTTACCAATCTGCTCAATTTAGCACTGTTTTATACAAGGAAGTAAAAATTTAGGTACAACTCGGCCTCTGAGTTCTCTATACTGATCTGTGTATGGACTGAATCAATGACTGAGAGCACTAGACATACCAGAAACAAGTGCTTGTCATCTCCAAGCCATGGACTTAACTGGATATGTGGCATTTAAGCCCATAAAACATGCTTCACTGTCAGTCTTTTAAACATATAGGCTTATAGGTTTCATCAGTTTTCCATTTATATGATACATGTCTGTTCTTAGCCATCCAGATAGTCAAATTTAAATACCTAGGAGAGAGAAAAATTTATTTTAAATGATGCATTTTAAATCTACAGTATTCCTAAAAGTTTTTAAAACAGTATTAAATTTTCCATCTATAAAGGTTTCCAGAAAGTATTTGAATATAGATAGCTATAAATTTATCTGATGGTCTAGACCTGAGAATAAAAGTTTCTTTTGCTGGGTGCTATGACTCATGCCTGTAATCCCAGCACTCTAGGAGGCAAAGGTGGGTGGATCACTTAATGTCAGGAGTTCGAGACTATCCTGGGCACATGGTGAAACCCTGTCTCTACAATAAATAAAAAAAATTGCCCGGCATGGTGGCATGTGCCTGTGGTTTCAGCTACTCGGGAGGCTAAGGTGGGAGGATCACCTGAGCCTAGGGAGGTCACAGCTCCAGGGAGCCAAGATCACACCACTGCTCTCCAGCTTAGGTGACAGAGTAAGACCCTATTTCAAAAAAAAGTTTAAAAATTAAAAGTTTTTTTTTTTTCTCAGAATAAGATGAGAACTAGCATTATTAAAGTAAGGGGACCAGAAGAATGGAAGACCTGGACCAGAAAAATTTGTCTTTTTGCTTACAGAATATTAGTATCTATCCAGTAGTACCATTACTGAAGAATAAGTGAGCCAGAGCTCACAATCAATTAACATCTTGATTTTTCCATGTCCTCACAGTCATGTGAAATCTGCTATTGTTTTTTAAATCATGGTATTAAATTGACATATTTTCAACTCATAGCATTCATAAAGCTTTTATCAAGAAATAAAGCTTCAGGTTAATGTTTCAGGAGTTATGAGTACATACTCAAGATTTTTTTACATTAATTATTCACATAGTCTTACTAACATGTCTGTGTACCTAGTTTCCTTCAAAACAAAACCTAACACTACTAAACAGCACACTACAAATTACCCCAAAGCGGCCAGGCACGGTGGCTCATGCCTGTAATCTCAGCACTTTGGGAGGCCAAGGTAGGAGGACTGCCTGAGGTCAGGAGTTCAAGACCAGCCTGGCCAATATGGTGAAACCCCATCTCTACTGAAAATAGGAAAATCAGCTGGGCATGATAGCAGGCGCCTATAATCCCAGCTACTTGGAAGGCTGAGGCAGGAGAATCGCTGGAACCCAAGAGACAGAGGTTGCAGTGAGCCAAGATTGCGCCATTGCACTCCAGCCTGGGTGACAAGCAAGACTTCATCTCAAAATAAATAAACCCAACGCTATTAATTTTATCTTACTTGTAAATAATTCATTATTATTGTTTTCCCTAATTTCCATTTCCAAAAGATGTTTGAAGGATCTTTACCTTGGAAGCCTCATGGTAGAAGGTGTAGCGCTCACATTCTTCAAAGAATTTTCAAAACACTTCTACTACTTGATGTATCATTAATTCTATGTTTAGCAAAAAACACTGGACAGAGATGAATAGGGAAGGCATGGATTGAGTGAAAGAATATGTATGACTGACAAAGGATTTATCGCCAAACTACATAAAGTAATACAACTTAAATAACTCAAAATGGGTAAAAAGCACTAAATTAAAAAATACACTTCGTAATAAAATATGAAAATATGTTATTAACATTTAAATACAATCATTATAAGAATATCTGTGATTTGGACATTTTTTGTGGTAGCTTTAACAGACTGTTCAAAGTGGATCCTACTGCTCAGTGGCGTTTCTTAGAAACAAGGTAATGATCCAACAGAACAGTTACTTCATGAGGGGGTACTTCTGTATGTGTAGCTATTCTTAATTAAAGGTTCCAGGATCAACATAAGGATAAGCAAGGAATTCCCCCAGTTTGTTGCCTTCTGAATCATAGTGGAGCATCCGGAAGCAAACATCACAAAAGAAACATGGGTCCTCTGGTGCAAAACTGTCATTGTTCGTCACCCATCTGCAGTTTTTAAAAAAAGAAGTACATCATTACAATCAAATTTTCCTTATCTAAACATGCTTTATGAACTGTAGTAATATGTAAATATAACATTCCCACTATTTCCTTATCAGTCTATTAATGCATAATAATCCTCTAAATAATTTTGTTTACAGATAGACATCACCACCGATACTCTCTTTACAAAGCAAAAGGGCATCTAACTTTAAGAAACATTCCAGAGGCTGGGTGTGGTGGCTCACGCCTGTAATCCCAACACTTTGGGAGGCTGAAGCGGGCAGATCACCTGAGGTCGGGAGTTCAAGACCAGCATGACCAACATGGAGAAACCCTGTCTGTATTTAACAAAATACAAAATTAGCCATGTGTAATGGCTCATGCCTGTAGTCCCAGCTACTCGGGAGGCTGAAGCAGAAAAATCGCTTGAACTCAGGAGGTGGAGGTTGCGCCATTGCACTCCAGCCTGGGCAACAAGTTTGAAACTGTCTTAAAAAAAAAAGGGGGGGGGGGGCTGGGCGTGGTGGCTCACGCCTGTAATCCCAGCACTTTGGGAGGCCGAGGCGGGTGGATCACAAGGTCAAGAGACTGAGACCATCCTGGTCAACATGGTGAAACCCCGTCTCTACAAAAAATACAAAAAAAAAAAAAAATTAGCTGGGCATGGTGGCACATGCCTGTAATCCCAGTTACTCGGGAGGCTGAGGCAGGAGAATTGCCTGAACCCAGGAGGTGGAGGTTGCGGTGAGCCAAGATTGCGCCATTGCACTCCAGCCTGGGTAACAAGAGTGAAACTCCGTCTCAAAAAAAAAAAAAAAAAATTGCAGAATGCTGTTTCTCTGTAATATCCTTAAAGGAAGAATATAAATCTACTTGAAAGCATGACACATTTGCCATGACATACCTATCCTCCAAGTATGAATATGGTCATTTTCTTCTAACAGACCATTTTGAAAAACCATAACAAAATTAGATGCAACAGATCTGATACACTTTTGCTTAATTTACCTTCTTAACTGATAATTGAGTCCTGGTTAATTTGAAAACCACAACTCTTTTACCTCTAGAACTCAAAATTATTTTACAATATGAAGTATATGCAAAGAGCAATATGGGCAACATTATTCAACCAAAATGCTGAATAGCATGAAGATGCTATTATGTGGGATGTCTGAATTCTGCATCTCATGAAATGTTTGCCTTTAACATTATTTTCACTTTAATCTGATTAATCATGTTTCCTACTGATCATTTAGAAAAGAATATTGTGGGAGGGCAAAACAAACTGAAGATACAGGTTGAGTATCGTTTGTCTGAAATGCTTGGGGCCAGAAAGAAGTATTTCCAATTTCAGATTTTCTTCAGATGTTTGAATATATTATGCATATACTTAATGGTTGGGCATTCCAAAACTGAGAATCTGAAATCCAAAATGCTCCAATGATCATTTGAGTATCATATGTTGGCACTCAAAAACTTTCAGGTTTTAGATTTCTGATTCTTGGATTTGGAATGCTCAACCTGTACTAAATTATCTTTCCTCCGAGTGGCTTTCAGATGTTCTTTTATAGAGATGTTATTGCTACAGTGTTTTCCAGGCTGGTCTCCTGGCCTCAAGCGGCCCTCCCACCTCAGCCTCTAAAAGCAATGAACTTTTTTTTTTGACCCACAGTTAAGAAATGCCTAATAATCTAAACATGTAGAATCACATAAAGTAAAAAATTTTATAAAACTGTATTTGAACTTCATATGCTATGGTTTTTTTGTTTTTGTTTTTGTTTTTTTTTTAATTGAGAAGCTGGGGGATGACGCTGATTATGTAAACTATGTAGACAAGAGGCAGAAAGAACATGGCTCCCTGAGCATTTTGGCTTAAACAAGGTTTTCTTTCCTTAGACTTCCCAAATCCCTTTATGGTAAGGTACACTGTGACCCTCTGAGAGGGAGTTATTGTATACAGAATTTCTTGAATGTATTCTATCAGAGAATCCGTGCTTTGCTTAACACTAGTACCCTTTATTCATTTAGCTGTATACATTTTAGAAGCCTGAAATTTGACCTACCCCTGGACTTGTGTACATACAATATTTCCTTACTGTTTAACAATGTTAGTTTTAACTCACTCAACTGTTGTTGATTTTGTGGCACTTCCCTACTAGATAATACTTCATATTTATAAACTAAAGTGCAAAAATTCTTAGATCCAGAATGGAAAATAAATACCAGAAGTCAAAATAAAACTACCATTTCTCAGATTTAAAAAACATACATTATCACTCACCTAGCTGTATACATTTTACAAACAAAACATTTTCTGGTCCATAGCCAGTGCTTCTTGATAAGGAGGGGATACAGTGTCCTATCCAAGCAGTCATCATGATGCACAAGCCTTTTGTTCATGGGAAAATAAAGATATTACAGTGATAAACAGTAAGTGACAACTTTTTATGTGCTATTAAATATATCTGCACCCGAGTATTAAGAAAATAGGTATTTTCAATTTTTCCTTTCAAGACTGCTAAATTACTTTTTATGCCATGTTTGACCAAATTGCGTTCCACAAAATACTTTCTCCAAGAGCATTTTGGATTAAGCAAGGTTTTCTTTCCTTAGACTTCCCAAATTCCTTTATGGTCATGTACACTGTGACCCCCTAAAGAGGGAGTTATATAGAGCATTTCTTGAATGTATTCTATCAGAGAATCCTTGCTTTGCTTACCACTAGTACCTCTTATTTTTATTTTTTGAAATGGGGTCTTGCTCTGTCACTCAGGATGGAATATAGTGGCATGATCATGGCTCACTGTGGCCTCAAACTCCTGTGCTTAAGCAGTCCTCCCACCTCAGCCTCTCCAGTGGTTGGGACTACAGGCATGCACCAACCACACCCAGATAATTTTTTAAATTTTTGTGGAGACAGGGTCTCACTATGTTATCTAGGCTGGTCTCAAACTCCTGGCCTCAAGTGATCTCCCACCTCAGCCTCCCAAGGTGCCGGGATTACAGGTGTGAGCCACCACACCTGGCTAACATTTAGTACACCGTAATGACACATAATTTGAGCAAAGCTACTCAGTGATATTTTACGGAGATTAACTGGTTGTTATAATGTGGCTCTTATTTTTTAAATGTCCCCTTTATTAAAATCTAACTCTGACTCGTGGTACAATATAAATTGGTAGAATCTTAGTTTTTAAGTGTCAGAATTATGAAACCTTTAAGAAGTTGCGTAATTTTTATTAAAAAATAAATGGAAGTCAATCTCTATTCTGCCACTAATCAGCTCCTTGGCTGTGGGTAAATCCTTTAAATCATAATAGACTTCAGAGTCTTCTGAAAAATGAAAGGACTACACAAAATGGTTCTAAAGGTCTGTAACAATACTAAAATTTGATTTTGTTTTTTAAATTAAAACTTCATTATCAGAAAATGATTACCTTTTGAAAGTTGGTATTAGGGAATGGCACTGAATGATTAAATACACCTGTAAGATGACATTGACTTCTCTAAATTGCCTTTTAAAAAGCCTTACATTGCATACTCTTTTTTGTTTGTTTGGGACAGAGTCTTGCACTGCTGCCCGGGGTGGAGTGCAATGGGGCAATCTCAGCTCACTGCAACGTCCACCTCCCAGGTTCAAGTACTTCTCCTGCCTCAGCCTCCTGAATAGTTGCAACTACAGGGGCTCGCCACCAAGCCTGGCTAATTTTTTGTACTTTTAGTAGAGACAGGGCTTCACTATGTTGGCCAGGCTGGTCTCGAACTCCTGACCTTAAGCCTGGCTTATTTTTTGTACTTTCAGTAGAGATGGGGTTTCACTGTTGGCCAGGCTGGTCCTTAATTCCTGACTTTGTGATCTGCCCACCTTGGCATCCCAAAGTGCTGGGATTACAGGCGTGAGCCACTGTGCCCGGCTTGCATACTCTTAATAAGTGTAAACTGTTTAAAAAATGAAAGGGGAGGCGTGGTGGCTCACGTCTGTAATCCCAGAACTTTGGGAGGCCAAGGCAAAAGGATCGCTTGAGCTCAAGAGTTCAAGACCAGCCTGGGAAATAAAGTGAGACCCTGACTCTACAAAAAAAAGAAAAAAAAAAAATTGGACAGGCATGGTGACATACGCCTATGATCTCAGCTTATAGGGCAGGCTGAGGCAAGAGGACTGCTTGAGCCCAGGAGGTCAAGGATCCATTGAGCCATGATTGTGCCACTGCACTCAAGCCTGAGCGACAGAGTGATACCCTCTCTCAAGAAAAAAAAATGTGTAAAGTACCTTTTCTTTGACATTCAAACAGATGTTTCTTTTGTTGATCACTGTATAAAGAAGTTACTGTGAGTTTAAGGGTCATGTTTTTATCCTTCAGTCTTGGAATCATGTTTATAGAGTTATGCCTACACTATAAGAAATGTATGGAAAAGGCTGGGCACAGTGGCTCACGCCTATAATCCCAACACCTTGGGAGGCTGAGGCGGGCAGATCATCTAACGTCAGGAGTTCAAGACCTGCCGGGCCAGCATGATGAAACCTCATCTCTACTAAAAATACAAAAATTATCTGGACATGGTGGTGCGTGCCTGTAATCCCAGTTACTTGGGAGGCTGAGGGACAAGAATTGCTTGAACCCGGGAGGCAGAGGTGGCAGTGAGCCAAGAGTGTGCCACTATACTCCAGCCTGGGCAACAGAGCAAAACTCTGTCTCAGAAAAAAAAAGAAATGTTTGGAAAATAAGACCATCAGAGAGAATAGGGATTGCCTTCTATCTTATGTTTATTACAAGGATGGCACATTTTCCCATATTTGAATGGAAGAGCAGGCAGAACAGCGTATGTAATTTTTTTTTTCTTTTTTGAGACAGTCTTGCTCTGTTGCCAGGCTGGAGTGCAGTGGCGTGATCTCGGCTCACTGCAACCTCCGCCTCCCAGGTTCAAGAAATTCTCCTGCCTCAACCTCCCGAGTAGCTGGGACTACAGGTGTGTGCCACCATGCCCAGCTTATTTTTGTATTTTTTTTAGCAGAGATGGGGTTTCACCATGTTGGCCAGGACGGTCCCGATCTCTTGACCTTGTGATCCGCCTGCCTTGGCCTCCCAAGGTGCTGGGATTACAGGCGTGAGCCACTGCGCCTGGCCAATCTTTTTTTTTTTTTTTTTGAGACAGAGTCTCGCTCTGTTGCCCAGGCTGGAGTGCAGTGGCACGATCTAGGCTCACTGCAACTTCTGCTTCCTGGGTTCAAGTGATTCTCGTGCCTCACTCTCCCAAGTAGCTGGGACTACAGGCACCCACCACCACACCCAGCTAATTTTTGTATTTTTAGTAGAGACAGGGTTTTACCATGTTGGCCAGGCTGGTCTTGAACTCCTGACCTCAAGTAATATGCCTGCCTTAGCCTCCCAAAGTGCTGGGATTATAGGCATGACCCACTGTGCCAGGCTGTTTATATAAAATTTTAATAACATCAGAGACATAAATGTACTGTCTATAATTTTTTTTTTTTTGAGACGGAGTTTCGCTCTTGTTACCCAGGCTGGAGTGCAATGGCACGATCTTGGCTCACCGCAACCTCCGCCTCCTGGGTTCAGGCAATTCTCCTGCCTCAGCCTCCCGAGTAGCTGGGATTACAGGCACACGCCACCATGCCCAGCTGATTTTTTGTATTTTTAGTAGAGACGGGGTTTCACCATGTTGACCAGGATGGTCTCGATCTCTCGACCTCGTGATCCACCCGCCTCGGCCTCCCAAAGTGCTGGGATTACAGGCTTGAGCCACTGCGCCCGGCATATAATTTTAAAGTCATATAAATCCAAGGTTTATATACCCTTCTGACTCTTGCCTCCCCATTCTTCTTCCCTAGGGGCAACTGTTTTCCATTCTTGTTTCTTTAGAATTTAGCTCCTCAACTTCTCCCCATAGAACTACTATAATTTTGGTTAAACAGATATTTAATTTATGAAGAATTAGTGCTGCTTCTACCTAAGCCACACAGTTGACTTTTATTGGACACGATTTTGTTTTCTAGCTATTAATTCTCTCCTGTTTACATTTTTAATGTATCTGTCACGAATTCACTTCCCTATTTTCTGACAGAACAGTGAACAACTGGGAGCCTACCAGTTCTATTTTCTTCCCAGACATCCTTCCTGAGTTCTATATGCTTTTGGCTCCAGATCCTGGATCTTTCTCACTCCCTCCCTCTTCTCCCACCCTCTCTCCCTTCCTTCTTCCCCCCTTTCCTCCTTCCCCCCACCCCTGGTTTTTTTTTTGTTTTTTTTTTTTTAGACAAGGTCTCACTCTGTCACCCAGGCTGGAACACAATGGCATGATCACAGCTCACTGCAGCCTTGACACCCTGGTCTCAAGCAATCCTCATGTTTTAGCCTCAGCAGCTGGGATTATAGGCTCCACACCACCATGCCCAACTAATTTTTGGTAGAAACAGAGTTTCACCATGTTTTCCAGGCTGGTCTAGGACTCCTGGGCTCAAGCAATGTGCCCACCTTAGTCTCCCAAAGTGTTGGGATTAAAGGCATGAGCCACTGCACCTGGCAGGCATCAGTTTCTATTATTGGTCAAACATGGGTATGTTGGGTATGTTACTGTTTCCACAAAAAACTTTAAATGGTCTCTCATAAGGAATCAAACCAGCAATGGAACAGGGTTTATTCATACATAGCATTCCTTCTTAAACTGAGATTTCCTAAATAAGGAGGAAATGAATCACCTTATTCATGCAATAGAGCTATTAACTGTCCAAAATTTATAATTCATCCCCAAATCTCATTTTAGACTATCTCCTTCCCAATTTAAACCTTTAAAAAAAGATTAAGAGTTCACATTTGTCAAATATTAGAATTAGTCTTCTTTTCCTCCAATTCCCTTTTATCTCCTTCAAATTTTGGCAAAAACACAAACCTAAAAATAAAGTTGCAGTGTTATACATATAGATAGATAACGACCTGAATAACGGCAGTTTAATACAAAATGGAGATGCTTTTTAAAGTATTAACACAATTTTTAACCATCTAATAGTAAAGTATTTCTTCTAGATTTTCAGGAAAAAATGAACAATAGAGGATGCAAATAGATGGAAAGAGTTAGTCACTGCATGGAAAGAAAACACTATTTTTGCTGCTCCCAGGCCAATCTGCAATGATTATTACTTTTACTCCTCTTATTTTTTAAAAAAACGATCTGTGCTTTTGTAAAAGAAAAATTTAAAAAGTAGCAAAATGTCCTAAGTGCTGCCACCTACCTTATGTCAGTAATGACAATGACATGTTCACAGTCTCCCTGATGACAGTATAAGTAAGGAAAACCCAGCTTAATACATAAGTCATTGAAGGTAAAATCTTCCATTTTGGCAGTCTGAAACTTTCCATAGCCTCTATCATGGGACTCTGACCACTCAATAATAGTTCTGAGGGGAGAAAAGGCAAATATACATCATTTTTCAACAAAAACTTAAGAATTACAGAAAGCGGTTTGTGACTGCAGTAATTCACATTAACCTAGCTCACCCAACTAACTGGACAGTTGCCATCTTGAGACGAAGACCAAAATGTCTGACACATGCTGGGATTAGGAATGCTGAATTTTTCTTAGTTATGAGAGCAGCAGTTCTCAAAGCATGGTCCTTGAGGTCAAAATTATCTTCACAATAATATTAAGATGTTATCTGCCCTTTCAACTCTTATCCTTTCATGATGGACCAGTTTTCTGAAGGCTACGTGATGTGTATCACTTTAGCTTAAATGCAAAATGTGTAACAATACATTTCATTTCAGCAAGATGTATAATCAATGGTGTTTTGAAAAATATTTTTCACAAAATGTTAGCATGTAATGAGATTAATATTTCAAAATTTTTAGTTTCACATTTTTAATATTATAAACATTGATAGTTATAACTCTCATAAGCAGTAGCTTATTGGGGCCCTCAGTTATATAGAAATGCAAGGCCAGGCGAGGTGGCTCATGCCTGTAAATCCAGCACCATGGAAGGCCAAGGCCTCCTGAGGTTGGGAGTTCAAGATTAGCCTGACCGACCTGGAGAAACCCTGTGTCTACTAAAAATACACAATTAGCCAGGCGTGGTGGTACATGTCTATAATCCTAGCTACTCAGGAGGCTGAGGCAGGAGAATCTCTTGAACCTGGGAAGCAGAGGTTGTGGTGAGCTGAGATCATGCCATTGCATTCCAGCTTAGGCAATGCGCAAAACTCTGTCTCAAAAAAAATAAAAGAAATGCTGAAACCAACAGGTTTGAACTGTTAGGTTAGAATATAGATTTTAAATGACTACATTTGGCTGGGTGTGGTGACTCATGCCTGTAATCTTCGCACTTTGGAAGGCCAATGCAGGCTGCTAACTTGAGGCCAGGAGTTCAAGACCAGCCTGGCCAACATGCCGAAATCCCCATCTCTACTAAAAACACAAAAATTAGCCGGGCATGGTGGCACACACCTGTAATCTCAGCTACTTGGGAGGCTGAGGCACAGGAATGGCTTGACCTGGGAGGTGGAAGTTACAGTGAGCTGAGGTCATGCCCCTGTACTCCAGCCTGACAATGAAAGTATGGTCTCATTAAAATGAGCTTAGATATAGATTTTTCCTATGTGTGTACTTAAGCAACCTATATATCACCATCACCTAGGGCAAACAATAGTAAATACTGAATAAGCAGAAAAAATAGTGAAAGGTTATTTTACCACTATTATCTGTATATAAAGGCCAGAGACTAATAATGCATGTTAATGGGATTTAATTTATTTTATTTATTTATTTATTTTTAAGAGACAGAGTCTTGAGATATTATCCAGGTTGGAGTGCAGTGAGTATTCACAGGCAAGATTATAGCATGCTATATAGCCTTGAACTCTTGGCCTTAAAAGAGTCTCCAGCCTCAGCCTCCTGAGTGGCTGGGACTACTGTGCCTAGCTAATTTTTTTTGCATGTATGTAATGCTCAAGACAAGATTTATCAGTAATTCCTCAGTAAAGATCCTTAATAGCCCAATAATAGGATTTGTGGAGATATTGCTACTTTGATAACTAGAAATAAGAAAGACTTTGAGAAGATTTTTAGAAACTATACCTGCTCAAATCTCTGCATTCTGGGTATCTTTTATCATTATAAAATGTGCCTTCAAAATAAAAAAAGGCTGACTTGTATAGGTCCTATAAGAAAACAGATGGTATTGAGAGAAAGTCAACCATTAGCAATTATGACATAAGAATTAAAAATTTATATATCATAAAATCACACTAATACATGTTAACAAAAACTGCTACTACTTTCAATTTTACCCTATTGCTGTTTGTCACTACGTTTGATTTAAATGTGCATATTCTCCTGAGATTCATGAATTAGAAATCAAATACACATTATTTTATTGTATGCATACACAGCAATAAGTTGTGTTGGATACTAGAACTAAAAACTAAACAAAGTCCTATTTTTAATGTTTCCCCAGTGATAACAATGATCATCAAGTTATGTTTTTCTAGCATTTTTCGTATTTCTTTCTTTATATTTTCAATAACTCTTAGGCAGACAGAATCTGAATTTCTATTTTTACTCAAGCAGTCTTGCCCCAGGTACCATAGTTGTAGCACAACTGGTTTGAACCTTCAAAATTTCTTAACTCATTTTACCAGCATTTCTATCAAAGGAGTGGCTCTCAATGCTGACTGCAAAATCAAATTACAAAAACACCAAACACCGTGTGTCAACTCACACTCATTAGTTAAGAATCTCTGGGGATCATATTTTTCCAAAGCTCTCTGGAAAAAAAATATGCAACCAGAATAGAGAAGCACTGTTAAATTCACCATGTATTTAGAAACAGACCCCTGGATAAGGGTCAGAAGACCTGAGTTCTTTTCCTTAACCTACCATTTACTAGCTTTGTGATTCTGGTATGTAGCAATCACTTCTCAGACCTGTTTCCTCATCTGTAAAATGAGAATAATAATATCTGCCACAATGTCTTACAGGATTGTGGTGAGGATAAAAAGCAATTTATGTAGAGGAGATATATGTTTCAGGTACTATAATAATTTTGCCCTAATAGTTTAAGTTTTCATCTACTTTTTTGAAGCTTCTATTTTTCTTTTTTGTCTTCAATAACAGATCATCTTGTGTTCGCATCAGGCACTCTTGCGATTGGCTATGTTGTTTCTTCTTGGACCAGTCACTGAATGTCACTGACCCTCTGTTTTCTCACGTAAAATGTGAGTAAAGCCCTTACCTTCTTCACAGGTTACGGAAAGTAAAATGTATAATGTACCTCATGTCATATGCCTAGCTGCTACAGTACAAAATCTGCCACTTATTATACTCTTCATCCTCAAAAAGGTTAAGTAAGCAGGGTCCAAAATAAAGGTTCTAATGATTAGCCAGGTGCAGTGGCTCACGCCTGTCATCCTAGCACTTTGGAAGGCTGAGGAGGGTGGATCACAAGGTCAGGAGTTCAAGACTAGCCAGGCCAATATGGTGAAACCCCATCTCTGCTAAAAATAACAAAAATCAGCCAGACATGGTGGCAGGCACCTGTAATCCCAGTTACTTGGGAAGCTGAGGCAGAAGAATTGCTTGAATCTGGGAGGTGGAGGTTGCAGTGAGCCAAGACAGACCCATTGCACTCCAGCCTGGGCGACAGTGAGACCCCGTCTCAAAAAAAAAAAAAAAAAAATATTGACTTATTTTGGAAACAAAACAAACTTTAATATATATAATTGTATTTTTACAAAACACTTCCATAGAACTTCATCTTAGGTGATTTAAGCAACTTAATATCTTTTGGCATAATTATTAATTACAAGGTGAACTCTAAAAGAACAAAAATGTTTTCCATTTAAATCATAAGTCATCCACTAATAAACTTTCCTGGCCGGCACGGTGGCTCACACCTGTAATCCCAGCACTTTGGGAGGCTGGGGCAGGCGGATCACTTGAGGCCAGAAGTTTGAGACCAGCCTGGCCAACATAGCAAAACCTTGTCTCTACTAAAAACACAAAAATTAACCAGGCCATGGTGGCGCACACCTGTAACCTCAGCTACTTGGGAGGCTGAGGCACAAGAATGGCTTGAATCCAGAAGGCAAAGGTCACGGGGAGCTGTGATTGCACCACTGCACTCCAGCCTGGGCAACAGAGTGAGATTCTATCTCAAAACAAACAAATAAACAAACTTTCCTTATTTCAGCATATAAATGGAATAATTTTATAAGAAATTACTTGTTATTAATAGAATATAATCTAAGAGTCTACTATTTATTACTAGAGTAACTACTGATAGCTAGTATGTTCATTTGAACAAAGTCATTATCTACAGTTTTAGGCAACTGTATTAGTCGTTTATTGTCTTGTAAACTTGAGGAACACTCTTGGGATCTGCTGTGAGGGAAACAATACTGACAGTTCTTGTGATAAAGGGAAGGAATGAGATAGTATAACAGCTTAATGAAATCCCACAGAAGAAAGGATTTACTAGGACATGCATCAACCTGCTAGAGTAATCACTGTTTTCTTAGCTTGTTATTTCCTTTTGTTTTATGGGAGGAAATCACCTTACTTTGCTGATGTGCTCAGGGGCTTGGTCAGGAGTGTTGCTGAATTCACCACCAATCTGGAGGTCACTGACACAGCAAATTGAATCCCTCAGTTCTGTGAGCTTTTGACTGCCCAATACCAGCATTGTTTGGTATGGTTTGTGTTCTTTGTGCTAAAAGTCAAAGAATAAATAAGTGTTCACTTAGAGACAAAGCAATAAAACTGTAAATCCTGTCATGACTAGATCAAAATTAATTGCTGGTTTTCTAAAGTTTAAATTGTCCCCATAAGTTGGTGTTCTGTATTTTCACATCCAATAATTACAGGGCCAAACTAATGGTCAACATTGTTTACATCTCCCCTGTGATCCAGAGCCACTCTGAAACCACCTCCTTTATCTAATGCTCACACACCAAGCCACTATTTCCCCTGGTACTCCACCAACCTCAATCCACCCAGGGCCAAGCATCAGGCTACAACAGACAGTCCCTCTGCCCCCAAACCTTCTGGAATTATTCCAACTAGCCAATCCTCAACTGTTTACTCTTCCCTATCTTGTCTTTCCCACAGAAACCCCCCAAAAAACTGTGATCTATGCCTTCCTCTCTCCCCTTTCCACCTCCTGACTGAGAATGGTGCTGCTTCCTGTGGCCCTACATGGTATGCCCCTTCCTTCCTCTAAGGAAATGTAATAAAAATCTTCTTTCGATGGCATCAAAGCCTCTTCACGTCATCACTCAGTCACCTCCATACATTAGAATCCCGTGGAATGGCCAAGTACAGCAGCTCACACCTGTAATTCCAGCACTTTGGAAGGCTGAGGCAGAAGGATTGCTTGAGCCTAGAAGTTCGAGATCAACCTGGGCAACAAAGCAAAACCCCATCTCTACAAAAAATTTAAAAGTTAGCTGGGCACTGTGATACATGCTTGTAGTCCTAGCTACTTGGGCAGCTGAGGTGGGAGGATTACTTGAGCAAACCTGTAGTGAGCTGAGACTGTACTGCTGCCCTCCGGCCTGGGCAATGGAGCAAGGCCCTGTCTCCAAAAACAAACATACAAATCCCATGGATACAACTGACATACTTAGCCATGGAAATTTTAAGCTAAAGTTTATAATCAAGATGATACCAAAATGACATGAGCATTAAGAGCCACTGGAATATTAACTTCATCTAGCAAGAAAGTCTTAAAATTTCCTAAGAGTTACTTCATTGAAGTCAGGCAATCTATACTGTAACCTAAGGTTATAAACCCAAAGACTAATTACTTTGGTTTGTTTTGTTTTTATGATTTGTCATTTGGGATCTTTCTTTTTGGAAGTGGGGTGGCAGTGGGGGACAGAGTCTCATTTTGTCACCTAGGTTCGAGTGCCATGTAACGATCTTGGCTCACTGCAGCCTTGACCTCCCAGCTCAAGGAATCCTCCCTAGTAGCTGGGACTACAGGCACACACCACCATGTCTAGCTAATTTTTGTATTTTTTGTAGAGATGAGGTTTTGCCATGTTGCTCAGGTTGGTCTCGAACTCTTGAGCTCAAGTAGTCAGTCCACCTCAGCCTTCCAAGGGTGCTGAGACTATAGGTATGGGCCACTGCACTTGGCCAGTTAATTTGAGATCTTAATCAAATAAGATAATTAGTACTAACTACATCCCAGATGCTTTGTACAAGCCTATTTATTCTTAAGTGCAATTTATATATATTAGTATTTCAATTACAACTCATCAGAGTTTATGACACATCTATTTAGGGAATTAAGAATATACACACTCTGGGCTAGGAAAGAGTTCTTTCTCCTAAGAGATTCATGGATACCCTTCACTTAATAACTTTCTGTATTTTCATCAAAGAAGAGCTGTCTCTGGTTAGTTCAATAACTTCCCAAGTATTCTAAATTAGTGAACGTAGGTCACTCCACTCCTCCATTAGTCACCTATTCCGCAAAAAAAAATCCCTCAAGAATTTGTAGAACTAGAATCATGGATTTACATATACCTTCAGTTGCTTCTAGTGCAGAAATCAAGCATATATATTAATACTGTACCTGTAATCCTACTGGATTGAGACATCACTTGAAATTTGACCTTATTTCCAATATTACTTAATAGAAGAGATGACACAAAATTATAGATTGTCAACTCTAAAAATAAGATGTCAGATAGGCAGCACATGCTTGCATTTATTAGATAGGGTCTCACTCTGTCTTCCAGGCTGGAGTTCAGTGGTGCAATCACAGCTCGCTTGCAACCTTGAATTCCTAGGCTCAAGTGATCCTCACGCCTCAGCCTCCCAAGTACTTGGGAGTACAAGTGTGCACCTCCATGCCTAGCTAATTTTTTTGATTTTTAGTAGAGACAAGGTCTCACTATGTTACCCAGGTTGGTCTCGAACTCCTGACCTCAAGTGATCTGCCCACCTTGGCCTCCCAAAGTGCTGGGATTACAGGCATGAGCCACCATGACCAGAACATTTACTTTTAATGTAAACATAGGAACATGACTCTTCAAATAATTAAACACTTTTACAAAAGTTACTATTACCCACAAATGCAAAAGGTTTTACTACTTACCTTATGAAATATAACAGGGTACAAGATATTCACAGATAGGATAAGCTCCCCTTCTTCTATCATGTCTGCTGGATTTTCAGGCTTTTTTCCTATGGCATGTGACTCCTGGAAAAAGAAAAAGAGACTCTGAAATCAAGATAGTATAACTCAGATAAGATGCAGTGTGTTACAGCGGCTATCAGCAAGTCCTGGGTGTGATGCCTAATTATACTTCAGGAAAATTGTTAAAACATCTCTAAGCTTTAGTTTCATCTTCTTTAAATAAACAAACAAAACCAGAAAACACTTAACTTTACAAAATTATTGCTGGGAATGTGCACATAATGCATCTAATAAGATGTGTGGTACTGAGTACTTAGCAGTTGATGATCAAACAGGAATATCAACTAATGTTGGTACAACACTGTCATTTCCAGTTACATTTTTATATTCCTTATCAAATACTCTTATAAAAGCTATTTTACAGATAAAGCTCAGAGGTTCAGTGATTTACTCAAGGTCATACCAAAGAGTTAGGGTGCAAATACAGATTTGTTTGGCTCTAAACCCCATGCTTTTTGTAACACCATCACATCTTTAATATATTATAAATCTTTTATATGTGCTGAATTAATATAAAATAGGGGCCAGGGTGAACTGGTTTAGATGCATGATGGGTTTTTTTTTGTTTGTTTGTTTTTGTTGTTTGTTTTGTTTTTGAGACAGAGTTTCGCTCTTGTTACCCAGGCTGGAGTGCAATGGCACGATCTCGGCTCACCGCAACCTCCGCCTCCTGGGTTCAGGCAATTCTCCTGCCTCAGCCTCCTGAGTAGCTCGGATTACAGGAACGTGCCACCATGCCCAGCTAAGTTTTTGTATTTTTAGTAGAGATGGGGTTTCACCATGTTGACCAGGTTGGTCTCAATCTCTTGACCTCGTGATCCACCTGCCTCGGCCTCCCAAAGTGCTGGGATTACAGGCTTGAGCCACCGCACCCGGCGCATGATGTTTTAAAAGTGGGAATGATGTCACAAAAGAGAGTGGACAGCTCCAGGGCTCAATCCCTCTATCAGAGAAGCAATAGAAAGCTGGAATGAGAGACTAGAATAAACTATTTTGGAACTCTGAAACCTGATAGGACACTTAAAACAATCAAGAGAGTGTTTTATGAAGGGAGAAGTTGCTGCTTTTTGTTAAGTAAGCACTCTGTGCAAATCAACTACCACCCGCACTCCTTTATCCCTCTGCAGATGAGACAGCAGCCCAAATTCCTGGAGAAGGAGGCTGGTGTCAGGGCAGGCAGTGGGGACCTGTTCTATAAGAAGTGATGACTGTATGTTTTGGCTGGTCTGGCGATGCTGAGTGCCTGGCCTAGATATGTGTGCTGGTTTTAACTTTCTTGGTGGCAGCAGCCTCCCCTAGCAGCATCTGTATTGGAAGACTTACAGACAAGATGCTTTTTTTCTTTTTGGAGCCAGATATTTAAGGAAATCCTTGTCAGATTGCTGACTGACCACAGAGATAATGAAACAGAAACATCATCCAACAAGTAATACAAATGATGTAATAGTATTGTTTGGAAAAGTCACAGGCAGCTCCAGCCATGCACAAGAAATAATATACCTAGAATGTCTACTTCTCGACAAAAATATATAAAACACACAAAAGTATGGCCAATTCACAGGAAAATAAGAATTTAGCAAAATCAACCATGAGGAAGCCCAGACATTGGAATTACTAGTCAAAGATGTCAATTAATTATTGCTACAGGCAATAGCTACATTCACATATAAATAAAAGTCCACTCAACAAAGATGTTAAATCAACTGACTTAAATGTGCTCTGTGCTCAATGAGTACCCCAGAAATTTGTACAGTCATTATGTATCAACTTTAAAAATGTGTTCAATCAGCTAAACGAAACCACAAACACCTAAAGAAAATCAGATTTCTCAGTAAGATTAATAGCAGTTTTCTCATCAGAAAACATGGAGGTAAAAAACCAAAGAATGGGCAGATGGATACTGACCGATTTTTTTTTTTGAGACGGAGTTTCACTCTTGTTACCCAGGCTGGAGTGCAATGGCGCCATCTCGGCTCACCACAACCTCCGCCTCCTGGGTTCAGGCAATTTTCCTGCCTCAGCCTCCTGAGTAGCTGGGATTACAGGCACGCGCCACCATGCCCAGCTAATGTTTTGTATTTTTAGTAGAGACGGGGTTTCACCATGTTGACCAGGATGGTCTCTATCTCTTGACCTCGTGATCCACCGGCTTCGGCCTCCCAAAGTGCTGGGATTACAGGTTTGAGCCACCGCGCCCGGCCACTGACTGATTTTTTTTTAACCAATCAATCTATCTATCGATCGATCAATCGATCGATCAGCAGGGTCTCCCTATGTAGCCTCACAGTTGGCTTCAAACTCTTGGCCTCAAGTGCTCCTTCTGCCTCAGCCTTCTGAATAACTGAAACTATGGAAACCCACCACTGTGTTCAGCTTTTAAATTTTTTTACTGTTGTTTTTCCTTTCTGGATGACATATTTAAACCCATGAAAGAAAAAAAAAAACTGTCAACCAAGAATTCCATATTTGGCAAAATCCTTCAGGAATGAAGGAGAAATTAACATATTTTCAGATAAACAAAAGCTAGGGGAATTCATTACTACCAGTAGACCTGATCTGTAAGAAATGCTAAAGAGGATTTTTCAGGCTGAAAGGAAAAGACACTAGATAGTAATTTGAAGCCATAAGAAGAAGTAAACAATACTGCTAAAGAGAACTACATAGGTCAATACAGAAGCTAGTATTATTGTACTTTCGGTTTGTAACTCACTCCTCTATGATTTTTCTGTTTTTCCTATATGATTGCAAACTAAATAGATTAAACAATACTTACAAAGTTATGTTAATGGAAACACAATATATAAAGCCATCATCTGTGACAACCCAAAGAGGGACAGACAAAGACGTGGAAGCAGACTGTGTGAATACTATAGCAACAAAACTGACATAAATGCTCAACAATGATGGGATTATGCCTCAATAAACCCCATAAATTAATAACATCACAAGTGGAAAAAGCATTTAAGACCCCAATAAACCCATCATAAAGTCGAAACCTCCTAAGTCAAACCACAGTAAATTGAGGACTGTCTGTATATTTAAAAGTAAGTTGTTGCCAGGTGTGGTGGCTCACACCTATAATCCCAGCACTTTGGGAGTCTAAGGCAGGTGGATCACAAGGTCAGGAGTTTGAGACCAGCCTGGCCAATATGGTGAAACCCTGTCTCTACTAAACTTACAAAAATTAGCTAGGCATGGTGGCGGGCACCTGTAGTCTCAACTACTTGGGAGGCTGAGGCACAAAATCACTTGAACATGGAAGGCAGAGTACAGTGAGTTGTTATTGGGCCACTGCACTCAAGCCTTGGCAACAGAGTGAGACTCTGTCTCAAAAACAAACAAACAAACAAAAAAAAAACTGTAATCCTTAAGTTACAGAGAAACAAGATGTTTTGGCATGTGTTTGTAGTCCCAGCTATCAGAAAGCTGATGCTGGAGGATCATTTGAGCCTAAGAGTTTGAGGCCAGCCTGGGGAACACAACAAGACCCCATCTCTAAAAAAAAAAATCTTTTAAGGTTTTAATAGACAAAGGAGGACATTATATACTGGCAAAAGATGCCATCCAGCAAGAAGATATATACAATTATAAACTTATATACAGCCAATAGACCTCTAAAATCTAAGAAGCATAGGAGATCAAGGTGGGCATATCTCTTGAGTCCAAGAGTTCCAGGCCAGCCTGGGCAACATGGCAAAACCCCATCTCTACAAAAAATACAAAAAATTAGTTCAGCATGGTAGAGCATGCTTATATACTATCTACTCAGGAGGCAGAGATAAGGGAATAACTTGAGCCCAGGAGGTTAAAGCAGCAATGCGCAGTAATAGCGCCACTGCACTCTAGCCTGGGTAACAGAGCAAGACCCCGTCTCATAAAAATAAATAAAATAAATGAAGCAAAAGCCAACAGAATTGAAGAAACAGTTCTACAGTAATAGTTGGAGACTTTAATACTCACTTTTCATAATGGGTAGAACAACTAGACAGAAGATCAATAAAGAAAAGGAGGTGGCCAGACACGGTGGTTCACACCTGTAATCCCAGCACTTTGGGAGGCCAAGATGGGTGGATCGCCTGAGGTCAGGAGATCCAGACCATCCCAGCTAACACAATGAAATCCAATCTCTACTAAAAATACAAAAAATGAGCCGGGCATGGTGGCTCATTTTTTGCACCTATAGTCCCAGCTACTAGGGAGGCTGAGGCAGGAGAATTGCTTAAATCTGGAAGCAGAGGTTGCAGTGAGCTGAGACTGTGCTACTGTACTCCAGCCTGGGTGACAAAGCCAGACTCCATCTCAAAAAATAGATAAGATAGTTGGATAGATAGAAAGACAGATAGAAAAGAAATAGGAGGCTTGAACAACTAGAACAATTAGACATAACAGTTAGACCTAACAAAGAACTCTCCATCCAACAACAGCTGAATACAGGTTCTTCTCGAGTGCATATGAATCATTCTCCAGGATACACCAACAAATCTAAAATTAAAGTAATGATGTTAGAAATCAATAACAGGAGGAAAATTGGAAAATTCACAAATATGGAAATTTAAGACATATCACTTGACAAAATCACAGCACATGAAACTTAGGAAGATGCAGTAAAAACAGTGATTTTAAAAAGTTATGGCTGTATAACTTTATATAAAAAGAACAATCTCAATAACTACATAGGAATTAAAAAAGAATAAACTAAACCCAAAGCTAGCAAAAAATGGAAATTATAAAGATGAGTGGAGATATAAATGAAACAGAATAGAAAAATAATATAGAAAAATCAATAAAAACAAAAGCTGGTTCCTTGAAAACATCAACTTTGACAAACCTTTACTGCACTGATGGAGAAAAAAGAAGACTCAAATTACTAAAATATGAAATAAAAGTGGAGACATTACTATTGATTTTATAGGAAAAAAAAAGAGTTTAGAAAACTACGAACGGCGGGAGCGGTGGCTCAAGCCTGTAATCCCAGCACTTTGGGAGGCCGAGGCGGGTGGATCACGAGGTCAAGAGATAGAGACCATCCTGGTCAACATGGTGAAACCCCGTCTCTACTAAAAATACAAAAAAGTAGCTGGGCATGGTGGCACATGCGTGTAATCCGAGCTACTCAGGAGGCTGAGGCAGGAGAATTGCCTGAACCCAGGAGGCGGAGGTTGCGGTGAGCCGAGATCGCGCCATTGCACTCCAGCCTGGGTAACAAGAGCGAAAACTCCGTCTCAAAAAAAAAAAAAAAAAAAAAAAGAAAAGAAAATAAGTGTTCACAAGTACATGGAGAAATTGGAACCCTCAAGCATTACTAATGGGGATGTAAAATGGTGTAGTCGCTATGGAAAACAGGTTTCTCATTATTAACCATACAACCCATCAATTCCACTCCTAGGTGCAGAAGCAAAGTAATTGAAAAAGGACTTAAAAAGATATTTGTAGGCCGGGCGCGGTGGCTCAAGCCTGTAATCCCAGCACTTTGGGAGGCCGAGATGGGTGGATCATGAGGTCAAGAGATCGAGACCATCCTGGTCAACATGGTGAAACCCCGTCTCTACTAAAAATACAAAAAAATTAGCTGGACATGGTGGCGTGTGCCTGTAATCCCAGCTACTCAGGAGGCTGAGGCAGGAGAATTGCCTGAACCCAGGAGGCGGAGGTTGCGGTGAGCCAAGATCGTGCCATTGCACTCCAGCCTGGGTAACAAGAGCGAAACTCCGTCTCAAAAAAAAAAAAAAAAAAAAAGATATTTGTAGGCTGGGTGCAGTGGATCACACCTATAATCCCAGCACTTTAGGAGGCTGAGGCAGGTGGATCACAAGGTCATGAGTTTGAGACCAGCCTGGCCAACATTGGAAACCCCATCTCTACTAAAAATACAAAAATTAGCTGGGCATGGTGGCATATGGCTGTAATCCCAGCTATTGGGGAGGCTGAGGCAGAAGAAATGCTTGAACCCAGGAGGTGGAGGTTGTGGTGAGCTGAGATTGTGTCACTGCACTCTACCCTGGGTGACAGAGTCTCTCTCTCTCAAAAAAAAAAAAAGATATTTTTATACTAATTTTCATAGCAGCATTATTCACAATAGCCAAAAGATGGGAACAACCCAAATATCCATCAACAGATAAACAGATGAACAGAACAAAATATGGTATATCCATACAATAGATATTATTCAGCCATAAAGAGGAATGAAGTTCTACTACATGCTACAATATGGATGAATCTATAAAACATTAATGCTATGTAAAATATGCCATAGGCTGGGTGCTGTGGTTCATGGCTATAATCCCAGCACTTTGGGAAGCCGAAGTGGGCAGACTGCTTGAGGTCAAGCGTTCAAGACCAGCCTGGCCAACATGATGAAACTCTGTCTCTACTGAAAATACAAAAATTAGCCAGCCATGGTGGCGGGCGCCTGTAATCAATCCCAGCTGCTTGGAAGGCTGAGGAAGGAGAATCGCTTGAACCTGGGAGGCAGAGACTGCAGCGAGCTGAGATTGCGCCACAGCACTCCAGCCTGGGTGACGCAGCAAGACTTTGTCTTTAAAAAAAAAAAAAAAAAAAAAAAAGCCATACACACAAAAAAAGCGTTCTGCTTACATGAGATATCTAGAGTAGGCAAATTCATAGATAAAGAAAGTAGAATAGAGGTTACCAGGAGCTGCAGGGGGGAAAACTAGTGAGTTATTGCTTAATGGGTATAGAATTTGTTTGGGATGATGAAAAAGTTCTGGAAATAGTGGTGATGATTATATAGCATCGTGAATGTACTTACTGCCACTTAATCGAACACTTTAAAATGATCAAAATGGTAAATTTTATGTTACGTAAATTTTACCACAATAAAAGTAAAATAAATGGGAGAGACAATAGGTGCCCTTACGCATGATCAAGTGCCAGAACAGTGCCCAGCACATTGATTCTGAATCCATCGTGTCTACTAGCTCCTAATTCCTTAACAGTCATCATCTTAAAATTTCCCAGAGTTTTACACAAGAGATCACAGATAAGGATTAAGAATGCGGTTAAACCAAAATCAGGAGCAGAACAGAAAGATCAGAAATAGGGTAGTAAAAAGGCATAAATTTAGCCTAATACCGAAAGCAAGACAAAACCAAGCAAGAATAAAGGCATAGATCTGAAAAAGTCAGATATGTGGTCACTTGAGTTCTAAGGGTCCTCTTCACTCACTAGTTCCCAGACTCAAAAGAGTTTCTCTAGTTTGTTTTCAACTAAGCATATCCAGTATAAACTACCATACTGCCATTACTAACAATATCAGTTTACTGTTATAAGAGAAAAGGGTGAAACAGATGAGACTCTTACCATCTCATAAACAAATGTTTCTTGTCTGCAGACTCGATCTATTGTAATGGTTTCTTCCCGATGTTCCAAGAACCTTTTTCTAACCCTGTTGTAGACATTAAAAAAAAAAAAAAAAAAATCAAAGTTCAACATTTGTTATTAGGGCTTCAAAAACATGTCTAACATTCAGCTTTTTATTTGGAACTACTTTTAAGTAGCAAAAGCAGGAAGAAGTTCCCTTCTGTCTCTTCTTCAGCTACCCTTAAGTCAACATTGACATGATCATGAGACAATCATCAAGAACATGAAATAAATTCTTACACAATATTAATAGCTATAGGCCTTTTTCAAATTTCACACAATTTTTAATTTACTCATTTTTTTTTCCTGTTCCAGATTCCTATCCAGGATTCCACATGGCATCTGTTGTTTTTCCTTAGTCTCCTTGAGTTTGTTAAAATTCTTCAGTCTCTTCTTATCTTTCATGATCCTGACAATTTCAACGAGCTCTAATCAGTTATTTTGTAGAATGTCCTTCAATTTGGGTTTGACTGCTAGTTCCTCATGATAGGAACAAACTTAGAATTTTGGTAAGAATACTACAATGATGTCCTTCTCAGTGTATCATATCAAGAGGTGCAGATTAGGCCGGGCACGGTGGCTCAAGCCTGTAATCCCAGCACTTTGGGAGGCCGAGGCGGGTGGATCACGAGGTCGAGAGATCGAGACCGTCCTGGTCAACATAGTGAAACCCCATCTCTACTAAAAATACAAAAAATTAGCTGGGCATGGTGGCTTGTGCCTGTAATCCCAGCTACTCAGGAGGCTGAGGCAGGAGAATTGCCTGAACCCAGGAGGCAGAGGTTGCGGTGAGCCGAGATCGCACCATGGCACTCCAGCCTGGGTAACAAGAGTGAAACTCCGTCTCAAAAAAAAAAAAAAAAAAAAAAAAAAAAAGAGGTGCAGATTAGTTTATACTGTAAAAGGAAGAGAAAGAATAATAATAATACAAAAGAATAAAGAGTAATATTTGTACTTCAAAAATAAAAAGTAAAAAAACTTTAAAAAGAGGTTAATGATATTAATATGACATGTTACTAGTGATGCTTAGCTTGTTTTCTGTTTGCCAGGTTCCTCTACCAGAAAGACACCTTGCTTTCTATGAACTTGGTAAATATTTGGGAGGAGATACTTTGACGCTATGCAAATCCTGTTTCTCCTCAAACTTCACCCAGTAATTTTAGCATTCATCAATAGGTTTTGTCTGCAATATTTCCATGGTGTATGCCAAATGGTAGCTCTCACCTTCCCTTCTTCTACATTTATTCATTGGAATTCTACTTTGAGGAAGGCCTACCACTTTCCTCTGATCAGTTTATTTAATCATTTATATTAGTAAGAACCTACAGATATTTGTTTTATTCTGAGGTCAAAATCTAATACTATCATTATTTTGTTCAGATTGTTTCAGCTTTAATCATTAGGAGCTCCTTCAGGTTAGCTCAACAAGTCCTCCCCTTTAAAAAAAAATTTTTTTTTTTTTTTTAATTTTTTGAACATTATCTTACTTTCTGGCACCACAAGATGCTCAAAGCCCATCCTGTGTTTTTCTTATCTCATCCCTAGAATCAACCACTTCTACTGTAGTTCTTTTACTGGAAAAAGGTGTTTAGAGACCAGTATCTGGGTTCTAGGTGTTCTCACCATTACTGGAGTCACTGCTTCTAGGCCTTTCAGCTGAGACAGGCAGGAAATATACATATGAATGCTAACCTATACATGTACAAATATCTGTGTTTCTGTATTTTACTGTTAGATATTTAAAACTATGAGTTTATACTGATACCCTGATCCCAAACTAAAACCACAGGATTCATTTTAGCTTTCAACATTTCCTTGTTTAAAGCTTCTTTCTCCACAAGTGAGAAATCCAGCTTTCACTGTCAACAACCTATTAACTTATTTGTTCAATTCTAGTAAATACATAAAATAGTTACAGAATTGCTAACCTATGCCCCTGTGAGAAACACTAACTTATAAACAGAACTGTCTTCACCCTTATATCAATATGCTTTTGATAGCATTTTATTATTTAAAAATTGGAACAATACAGTTAAGATTAGCATGGCCCCTGTGCATGGATGATATGCAAATTCATGAAGTGTCTCAAAAAACAAACAAAAAAAATATGCTTTAATGTAGACTTTAGTTTTCTTCCCCACCCTCTTCAGTGGTGTTAAATTATACATTTATAATATAACTAGGCTTATTTTTTAGTTTTTGAGTTCAGTTTTGGGTTCCCTATACCCACAACCTGGTTGGTTTTAATTGTCTGATTACATTTGGGGTATGTGAAAAATATGTGAAACATCACTATGATCCTAAGAGTCACAAGTGTCACTCCCTCTTTGTCCCTACAACCGGTTCCCATTCCCTCCCTTCTTTCCACCCCTTTCTGTCCCATCCCTGCAGGCAATCAGTCTCTATAGTTTCGGTTTATCCTTTCCATTTCTTTTGTTCAAATAAACATATTTGTGTACATTCTTCTATCTCCTTCTTTATCAGTCTGAGTTCAACTGCGAGGAAAAAATGAGTATCAGTTTGAACAAAGAAAGGTTAAGGATTCAATAACTTTAACAGAGGATTGGAATAATGAGGAATTGGCAGGGAAGCAGTAAAGGGAACAAATAGCAAATAGGAGCACCCTACCCCCAGGGCTGAGAAAGAGTGCAAGAAAGTCCTTTTCTCTTCCCAGGACTGAGATCCAGATCAGCTGGAGAAAGAAGTTGCTGTAGTGCTACATCAGTGGATCTTGCTAGAAATCCACTCTCAGTGGCACCCGGAGAACCTGTTCAGGGGAGCTGTGGAGGGAAATGGGGTTGGCAGGGAAAGCTGCTGGGCGCTGGGTGCTTCAGACTGCAGTGTATTGCAGGAGTGAGCACTGGGGAAGCGGTGTGCACTGCAGGATCCTGCTGAGCCAGCACACCAGATCAGAAGCAAAACCCTTCAGAGTCCTGAAAGGTCTCTCCAATGCCCTTCAGTGACAAAGCTTAACGATGTGCTAGCTGGCAAGAGAAAAGTATTTAAAAAGCCAAGATCCATTTTTATAGAGCAGGAAAAAAAAAGTAAATTTGAAGATGAGAGCCAATAAACTACCCCTGGTACACCTTTCTTGCATAAAAGGTGGCATATTTTATGTATGGGACTTTATTTTTTTCACTTATTAGAATGTACTGGTAATTCCTCTGAGTTAATCCTTCCTCATCCTTTATTATAGCTGCCAAATATTACAGTGTGAACTTCCCATAGCATATTCAACACTCTTCTCTCCTATGTCTGTATATTTAAGTTGTTTCAAATACTTTGCAATTACAAACGATGCTTCAAGGAATAACCTCGAACACATGTATTTTCGTATTGTTGGAGGGGTATCTGTGGTATAAGTTGCTAGAAGTGGAATTGCTGGGACAAAAAGCATGCATATATGTAATACTGTGTTAAGTATTACAAAATTTACCCTACAGAAAAGTTCTAACCATCTGCATTGTCATCAGCAATGTTAAAAAAAAAAAACCCACCTGTCTCCCACAGCCTTGTCAAAAGAATGTATCACATACTAAAATTTATGCCAGTCTGATAGGAAAGAAAAGGTATCTCTGTGTAGGTTTAATTTTCACTTTTCTAATTTTGAGTATGTTTGAGCATTTTTTCATGTTTCTGAGTCATTTTCATCTTTTTTGTGTGTGAATTACTGGTTCATGTCTTTTTCTCATTTTCCCATTGGATTTTTGATCACCGTTTCTCAAATTTTAAGAGTTCTTATGTATTAGGGATATCAGCCCTTTGTGGTATATGTTATATTTTCTTCAAGTTTGGCAGCTGTCTTTTGACTTTATGTTGTGAAAACATTTTAATTTTTAGGTAGTCAGTTTTATCAATCTTTTCATTTCCTCTGGATTTGAGTAACAGAAATCCTTTCACCATACACCACAGTTTGTATGTTTCATTCCCTACACTTTGATCTCTATTATTCTTGTGTATAGTGTCATAATACATTTCTGTATGTATTTGTCTCTAACTCTGAACATTTTATTCTTTTCCACTGGTCTATTTGTCTATTCACGAGCTACTACCCACCATTTTAATTATAAAGGCTTTGTAGCATATCTTAATATCTGATAAAATTACCACTTCCTCATAATTTTTTTTTTTTTTTTTTTTTGGAGAATGAGACTCACTCTGTCCCCCAGGCTGGAGTGCAGTGGTATAATCTTGGCTCACTGCAACCTTCGCCTTGCAGGTTCAAGCCATTATCTTGCCTCAGTCTCCCAAGTAGCTGGGATTATAGGCGCCTGCCACCATGCTCAGCTAAATTTGTATTTTTAGTAGAGACAGGGCTTTGTCATGTTGACCAGGCTGGTCTCCAGCTCCTGACCTCAGGTGATCTGCCCGTCTCAGCCTCCCAAAGTACTGGGATTGCAGTAGCTGCCTCAGCCTCCTGAGTAGCTGGGATTACAGGCATGCGCCACCATGCCCAGCTAATTTTTTGTATTTTTTTAATAGAGACGGGGTTTCACCATGTTGACCAGGATGGTCTCGATCTCTTGACCTCGTGATCCACCCGCCTCGGCCTCCCAAAGTGCTGGGATTACAGGCCTTGAGCCACCGCGCCCGGCTTGATGCTTTCTCTAAGTTTGCCTTTGTAAGTTCTTTTTCCACAAAAGACTTGATGATTTCATCTTTATCTCTGAAATCTAATAGTTTTACAAATATGTATCTCGAAGTCAGTAAATCTGGGTTAATTTTTACAGGTACCTAGTGAACGCTTTCTAATTTTTTTCAATTTCTGGAAACTTTGGTTAGATTATGTTTTTAAATATTAATTATATTCCATCTCTTTTTCTTCTTCAGGGACTCTTGATAATAAGAATATTATGTCTTTACCTATCTACCATTCCCCACTTTCTCTGATTCATTTTACTTTTTCTTTGTCATTTTCAATTCTCTTGCTTCTTTTTATGCCTTCCTTCATTGCCTCCTACTTTCGAATCCATTTACCTTGAGTATCTTAAAATTTATTCACTTATGAATGAGGTAACTGTCTTTTCCTTCCATTCCTTTCCTACATTTCATCAACTCTTTTTTCATTTCTCCTTTAGTCATCCATTCTTATTAATAGTTTTAAAAATTATAAGCCAAGGTAAACATTCTTATACCCTCAAATGCTTATTTGGGTAAATTCAGTTCTGTTTGGAGTGTAGACTTACAGGCTTTCTTCTGTTTCCTGGTTGTTTTCTGGGTGAAAGGAGGTAGTCTCCAAAGTTGATTTGTATAAATAGTTATTTCCCGATTACCTGCAATAAGTTCTCTTTAGATTTTATTTCCTCTTGCTCATTTTTGTAACACTTGGGACATTGTGATAGTTCACAAGATTCGCAGTTCAATGGTGTTCTTTTCATCATTGCAGTCAACCTCAGATATATGAGAGTTGTTTGAGTTTTAGAGATAGAGTCTTGCTCTGTCACCCAGGCTGGAGTGCAGTCGCCATCTTTGCTCACTGCAACCTCTGCCTTTGGGGTTTGTTCAAGTGATTCTCCTGCCTCAAGTAGCTTGGACTCCAGGCACACACCACCACGCCCGGCTAATTTTTGTATTTTCAGTAGAGATGGGGTTTCACCATATTGGCGAGGCTGGTCTTGAAATCCTGACCTCAAGTGACCCGCCCTGTTTGAGTTTTTTTAAAAAATCATTTGTGGTTGGTTTGGTGGTGGATAAGAGTTATGAGTCCTCCAATAAGGTGGTTCCTTTTTTTTCTTTTTGCAGGACTCTAAATTTCCCCTTTTTAGCCTTTAAACAGTGTATCTTGGACCTGTAAACAGTGCTTTCTTGGCCACAAAAGGGAGATGAGCAAATCTAAAATTTCTATTGTATTAAAAGTAATGCTGATGAAGAACTGGACACAGTGGCTCAGGCCTGCAATACCAGCCCTTTGGGGCGAGGCGGGAAGATCATTTGAGGTCAGGAGTTCCAGACCAGCCTGGTCAAAATGGCGAACCCCATCTCTACTAAAAAGATAAAAAATTAGCCAGGCATGGTGGCACATGCCAGTAATTCCAGCTACTCAGGGGGGTGAGGCGGAAGAATTGCTTGAACCCAGGAGACAGAAGTTGCAGTGAGTAGAGATAAACCACAGCACTCCAGCCTGGGTGACAGGAGTGAAAGAGACTCTGTCTCAAAAAAAAAAAAAAAAGGATTGTTGTTGAAGCTTTTGGAATGACAAGTAAGTTTTAGCAGCACCCATGTAGTAACAATTCTCTCTCCTATCCCTAGGAATTAAAACCGTCCAACTAAGTTGTCAAAAAATTTCAAAACTGCTGAAGCTATGCAGCTTGCTATATATTAAGAGAGCAACATGTATCAAAGAAGAATCGGTATCTACCAACTATCTTTTGTCCCTTATATGCATAAAATGAGCTCCTTCATTAGATGTAGAGAAAAAAAAGTACCAGAAATGTATTTTATGTCATAATAAACAGATGATGTACTCAGGTTTTATTTCTATAATATAATAATGTTAAGTTATTAGTGAGAAGGACTGTTCAGAGACAGATAAAGCATTGAGATACAGATTTAGGATTTTGCCACAAGTCTAATTTTTTTTTTGGCAGGACCGTTAAGGTTAACATCAGTCATGTATTAAATAAACCAGCTTCACAGTATATCAAAATAAAAACCAGTTGAAGAATACTGATTTACATTAAATTATATATAATTCTACCCACAAATCCTGTTTGGAGGGACTAGAAGATAAGCAAAGAGATCTAGCTGACCTAGTAATGCAAAGCAGTCAGGGGAAGCAATGTTTAAATAGTCTTAAAATTACTATTTAACATGACTTAACAAAATTATTATAAATTAAATAGATTAATGTTATTTAGAGTCTGCTTTATTATGATTATCATCAATGTTCTTTTTTCAGTCTAACTCTAAAAATGACTTCCTGAGTCTTCTGAAAGTTTATTTATTCCACTCATTCTACAAATATTTATTGGCTCCCTACTATGCACTATAGTTCTAGGAACTGGTAATATAGCAGTGAGTGTGGCAGATATAACTTACGGAACTTTTTTTTCCCCAAGGCTACTGAAAATCAAGGAATTTTCAAGTGTAGCTAAGAAGACAGAAAATCAAACACGTATATTATTACAGATGTGATAAGCATTTCAACAGGGAACTACATCAGCATATAAGGGAACCTAAATGGAGTCCTTAGTCCTTTAGCTAAGACTTGCAGGATGAGAAGTCAGCAGGGCCAGGGGATAAGGAAGAATGACTGTTCTGGGCAAAGGCCTGGAGTGAGAGAGCACATTCCGGGAACTGAAACACAGTGCAGTGTGTCTGGGCCGGGCACAGTGGCTCACACCTGTAATCCCAGCATTTTGGGGGGCCAAAGCAGGCAGATCATCTGAGGTCAGGAGTTCCAGACCGGCCTGACCAATATGGAGAAATTCCATCTCTATTAAAAATACAAAATTAGCCAGGCGTGGAGGTGCGTGCCTGTAATCCCAGCTACTCGGAAGGCTGAGGCAGGAGAATCGCTTGAACCCAGGAGGCAGAGGTTGCAGTGAGCCGAGATTGCACCATTGCACTCCAGCCTGAGCAACAAGAGTGCAGCTCCATCTCAAAAAAAAAAAAAAACCCAGCAAGGCCAGCAAGGGTTCATTCCAAAGAGGTCTTTGTGAGCCACTACAGACTCAGGACTTTAGCCTAAGGGACATCAAAAGGTTTTAGGCAAGGGAGTAACACAGAGCAATCAAATTTGCCTTTTAGACAAATACTGACTATAGTAATCAACAATAGTTACAGAGCACCAATTGGAACAAGGTAGTATATAGCCTGAGGACAATACATAGATGAGAGTTTGGACTCTCAACGTGCCTCCAAAGACTTTAAAAATGTTAGCATTCAAGGCAGTATAAATGCTTCTGTTTCTTGGCTGGGCCTGGTGGCTCACGCCTGTAATCCCAGCACTCTGGGAGATCGAGCCCAGTGGATCATCGGAGGTCAGGAGTTTAAGAGCAGCCTGGTCAAAATGTTGAAACCCCATCTCTACTAAAAATACAAAATTTAGCTGGGCATGGTGGTGCACACCTGTAATTCCAGCTACTTGGGAGGCTGGGGCAGGAGAATTGCTCCAGTCCAGGAGACAGAGGTTGCAGTGAGCCAGTATTGTGCCACTGCACTCCAGTTTGGGCGACAGCGTAGGGCTCTTTCTTTGGGGGCGCAGGGAAGAAGTGGTATGTGCTGGGTGTGGTAGCTCATGCTTGCAATCCTCGCACTTTGGGAGGTGGAGGAGGGCAGATCATTTGAGCTCAGGAGTTTGAAACCAACATAGTGAAACCCATTTCTACTAAAAGTGCAAAAAAGCTAGCTGGCCATGGTGGTGGGTGCCTGTAATCCCTGTAATCCCAGCTACTTGGGAGGCTGAGGCCGGAGAATCCCTTGAACCCAGGAGGCAGAGGTTGCAGTGAGCAGAAATCACACACTGCACTCCAGCCTGGGCAACAGAGTAAGACTCTGTCTCAAAAAATAAAATAGAAAATATTAAATAAAATAAAGAAGTGGGCCGGGCGCGATGGCTCAAGCCTGTAATCCCAGCACTTTGGGAGGCCAAGGCAGGTGGATCACGAGGTCGAGAGATCGAGACCATCCTGGTCAACAAGGTGAAACCCCGTCTCTACTAAAAATACAAAAAGTTAGCTGGGCATGGTGGTGTGTGCCTGTAATCCCAGCTACTCAGGAGGCTGAGGCAGGAGAATTGCCTGAACCCAGGAGGTGGAGGTTGCGGTGAGCTGAGATCGCGCCATTGTACTCCAGCCTGGGTAACAAGAGCAAAACTCCATCACAAAAAAAAAAAAAAAAAAAAATAAGTGATATGTTTCAGATGGAAAAGAGGCCACATGCATCTTGAGCCATTCAAAAGAGAAAGTGGTTGAAAATAAATCTGGAAATACACATTTGGGATATATGTGGAAGGCTTCAAATGTCCAGCTAAGGAGTTTGAAATTTTTCCATACAGGAAATGTAAGGCCATAGACCATTTTAAGCAAAATGGCATGCTCAGGCAATAGCGTGATGGATAAATCAGTGGGAGAAATAACTGTATTTAGCAGAGGCATTTAGGAACCTTGCGTAGTGCTCCAGGTGTTGCTGCTGTAAAAGTTAGCAGTAGGAACCAGGGGAACAGATTTGGCAGTTATTATAAAAGAAAACCCAAGTAGAGTTGAAATGACTGCCTGAATATTTGAGGGGGATAATAGGGTAGGATCAAGAATGACAGAACACGACTGAAGTGGTAAGAAATAAGTGGACTGTAAATGGAAATTATAAATTTCACTATTACATGCACAACTTCTCTATGGTATTATCATACAGCAGTGGCGCTGAAAGAGTGGTAGGCAGACCAGAATTGATCTATGACCTTTTTGTTATCCAATCTGTACAAAAAGTAAGAGGAAGCCTTTAGAAGCTTCCATTACCAGTTGACAGTAAAATTGCTATTTTACCTCTGTTGAATTTGATAATTAAAAACTTGAACTTGGCCGGGCGCGGTGGCTCAAGCCTGTAATCCCAGCACTTTGGGAGGCCGAGGCGGGTGGATCACGAGGTCAAGAGATCGAGACCATCCTGGTCAACATGGTGAAACCCCGTCTCTATTAAAAATACAAAAAATTAGCTGGGCATGGTGGCGCGTGCCTGTAATCCCAGCTACTCAGGAGGCTGAGGCAGGAGAATTGCCTGAACCCAGGACGGGGAGGTTGCGGTGAGCCGAGATCGCGCCATTGCACTCCAGCCCGGGTAACAAGAGCGAAACTCCGTCTCAAAAAAAAAAAAAAAAAAAAACAAACTTGAACTTATATTGTGTTTGTCTTAAATTCCATTTTCTAGTAATTTTTTATAGTATTTTATCAAAGTATAAATCTGTCAGATTAAAAAAATTTTTAAACTAAAACTGTCCTTCGCCACAAATAGTCTGAGATACACTATCAGTATTTAGCTTGCCTCCCACCAGATCTAAGTAGACGAACGCTAACTTTGTAAACACACATTCAAAAATATACACAAGTTTGATTATGAACTGATTACAGATTATGTATTTCTTGATAATTTTCTTAGGTATAATACCACAATAATTATGTAGGAGAGTGATACTTTTAGGAGCTATATGCTGATGTACTTAAGGGTAAATTATCATGTCTAACTTACTGAATGGGATAACAAAAAAGAAAAACAGCAGGCATCCCACACACATCTAAAGTAAACACGGTCAAATACTAACAACAGCTGAATTTAAGGTATAGGTACACAGATAACAATCAGTACGGTACTTTCAACTTTTCAAAACATAATGTTGAAAAAAATGTTTAAAGAAATAGAACATAAAAACCAAGTCCTCCATACCCCAAAGTCACCAGGTCAGTATTCTCGGGAATGACTTCTGGATCCTCTCCGTCCTCAAGGCATTTCAGTTTATCCAGGCTAAAACAAAAAGGAAAAGCAATATTTTAAGGTCGGCTCTGGATCTTGTTCACAGCGAGTTAGGGCTGTTTTCCTAAATACATTACTGAATTACGAAGTCATATAAAATCCAGCAGGCGGCTCAGAGAGGCCAGAACTCAAGACAATGATTTCTGTGGTTGTATTTTACAATGAAAAGGCCGATAAAGAGAGCCAATACTGTTAAATGGAGAAAGAGGTCATTAAAGTTTATTTTTTTATTTTCATCCCCAAATAAGGTACTTTTTGGAAAAATTTCAGTAACAGAATACCCGGAAGGTCCCCAAAAGAAACCAGTTAGTTGAGATTTTAACACTCCTCTGATGAAGTCTCCCGCAGCTTCACCATTACTCAAGTTCCTCCATTGTCAAAGTGTCGGTACACGTCGGTACAACGGCAGGTACACGTCGCTGTTACCCTGAGTGCTTTTCTTTATTAACACGCACTTTTAGAATTAGCAAATAGAAAAACTAGTCTTCGATGGAGCTGTCTTGTCCCTTTGCTCCAACTCGCAGAAACTGTGCATTCGGGTCCCAGTACTTCTGGTGTTCCAGGGAGGCTCCAGCGGGTTGAAAGCTTTGAAAGGGCGATATTCCTAGCCCAGGTCTAAACCACAGGCCCTCTCAAGGATGAGCCCCAGAGGAGGGCAGAAGCAAGACTACAACCCGTTTGACCCCATGCTGCAAGAGCCCCTCTGTTCCGCACTCACCCGCACACCGTCCTCAGCTCAGCCGCCGCCTCCAAGCTGCAGTTCAGATCCCGGGCCACCGCGGCATCCTCCCGGTCGGAGTCAGCGCTCCCCTGACTCGCTGGCAGCACGGATGCCGGCGACTCCCTTAGCGACAAGTCCCCGGCACCGCGCAGACGACCCCGCCACAGCTCCCCAAAGGCGCCCACATGGAAAGCGCGCGTACTTAGCTCCGGAAGCTCATACTCTGGAAAGTTGCAGCCGCCACTGCCGGAAACGGGGTCCTGCTTGCCACCCACCAGGCTACACGTTGGGCCACCCCGACTGCCTTCAGCCATGTTCGTCCCACTCCCTTCCCTGCAAAAGCCTGGAGATCAAGGCCTCGCGGAGCGTGATGGAACTTGTAGTTGCACGGGGCGCCCGGCCGGCGACTGGCGGGGCGGCGCGGGCGGGGCTTCAGACACTACATTTCCCGGCAGGCCACAGGCAGGCCCGCCCCAGGGCGCGGCACCGCGAGGCTCTGCGGACTAGGCGCAGCATTGTTCTCCCACCCCGGCCGTGCGGGATCCGTTGCGTCTCTTGGTTCACCGCAGCGGGTGGGGCTGGGTTTCTGGTCCCCGCTGTTCCGTAGCAACTCCCTCTGCCTGGTAGGGCGGCCTCGCCAGTCGCTTAGGACCCGCTCCTTGTTGCTCTCGGACCAAGGGGTGCGGGGCTTTTTCTTGACTCCAGGGTTCAAGGGCTGCTCTGCTGCCTGCTTGCTCTAGAGCCTAAGAAACGAGGGCGAGGGCCGAGCCTAGGGACACAACCAGGCCCCAGATTCGTCTGCGTGC